TGAATTTTGTTCCTGAATGATGCAGTCTAGAGTCTGGCAATATGTGCTTGTCATCATAATTTTCATCCTTTGCTTTCAGCGAGTGGATAAACCATATACTTATGTTTAACAAGGTGCAGTTATCCCATACAGTCATTACACCAATCTCTTCCAAAAATTATTGCTACATTCAGTGTTGTGTCCCACATCAAGGAAATCAATTTCTACCTTAGCAAGGAAAGAAAAAGATACTATTTCGTTGCATACTGTCATTAAAATAATATGTACTTTCATAGGCACAGAAAGCAGCTAACTGTAGCTATCTGAATCCTTTGTGTGTGGTTACAGTGATGATAAAAATTGTGGGATTTTCGTTTTCTTTGTCCTGGTTGATTTAAGATTTTTTTCTCAGTTTACCAGTTGAAAGTGCAACCCTCCAGATCTCCCACTGCACCCTGAGCACAGGCCATTCCTTCTCATAGCTTTTTAAAGCCAGTAAGGCTGGATCTGCAGGACTTGAATCATGAGGACTGCTGAATGCTGTGAGAGGGACAGGCGCATCTGCATGTTACCCAGCTAATAGTTGCATTCTGAAAGAGCATTCTTCCTTTTTCCTTTTGATCGCAGCCTGTAAATCCTTCACTTGATGAAATCCAGCATCAGGAAATCTTGAACTGAGCACTGGCATTTCCAGAAACCTTAATTTGAATGTAATTTTGGATATCAGAGTAGCTGTGTTTTGCGTTGAGCTTTCATGGAATATCAGTGGAAATAAGGAGACTTGAGACTGTAGTTGTACCAATGTGGTTGTAGAGAATATTTTGTAGAGGTATGAGTTCTGCTGTTAAATGTTTGCTGGTTGTGATGATCTCATCTTACTGAAAAAGGAGATGGATGCCCAGGTGAACCTGAGGGTTTGAAGCTCCATCCTTTTTTCAACCCCAAATTTATGCTCCCACACATACACAGCATGATAGGGATTTGGAAACAGAATGCATTTGCTTCCAGTATGGTACCTTTGACTAGCAGAATGAAAGGTGTTCCAGCATAGCTGATTTAAGGCAGTTACCCTAACTAAGGCAAAGAGTGATGGCTCTGTGTGGGGCTCAGGTGCTTCAGGAGACAGCAGAGGAGGGATTTGTATAGGGAGTATTATTGGTGAAATGTGGGAAAGCAAGGCTGACACAAGGCTGTGGGATTTTTTGGGAGAGATCTGTGTTGCACCATAGATGCTGAAAACTGAGGATACAGCCATAAATAAATAAATAAAAATAAATTATGATAACTGCTGCCTGCTGAGGATATTAGGCACATCGCCAACACTGAGCCAGAGAGCTGCCAAGGGTCACATCCCAAGAGCATTCTGCCAGGGAGAGGACTCAAGGTGGTCAACAGGCACTTACAGCCTTAATCTTTTTGGTTTTGGGGTTCTTGGGCATGCACTGACCTTTGCAATCGCAGTCCCAGCACACAGCCTTTGCTGCACACCCACATGCAGGATTGCAGAATAAGCCTCTTTGCTTTCTCTCATAGTGTTTTGGGAGAGCATGCCACTGTGATCCTATGCTTACTTTATTGGGTTTTTGTTGGCTTTCTATTACCAAGGCCATTCTTGTGCAAATGAGGTCATAGTTTGGTAGTCTACTTGCTCCTTCTGTGTGTGCCTCATCAGCAGACCTAATCCACTCTTCCTAATAGTCTTTTTGGTTGCTATAGCAATGATAAAGTGTTATGAAGAAGGCAGGATGATACTTAAATGTATGGCTGGTATTACCTTTTTCTTTCTCCCTCCTGGGAAAAAGAAACCAAATAACAAGGATTTTTTTGGGTGTATTCTTGTTTTATCTAAAGCTTTAGGTGTAGGCTCCTTGGAGCCTGGATGCAGTCCTTCTCTCTTACCATCCTTTTAGGCTGGGAATGTTGCTGCTCAAAAGCAATTAGGGAGAAATGAGCCCTAATTTATGGATACAGGGTACATATCATGTTTTTAAGATGCCAAAGTTACAGTTATTGTGCCATACAGAGAGTATGAAGTTTGCCAGCCCACCATGATGGGAACCTACTGCAGAGTGCTTGGGGCCCAGTTGGGTTTCTGAAAGTATTGAAAGGTAGCTGAACATGTTAGCAGTGGGTTTGTTTTGGATTTGCACCAGCTGATTTACAGGAGAATTACTCAGCGCTGCTATTGAAGGTGGCTTTTTGATCAGTAAATTTAAAACAAATCTAATGTAGTCAAGGGAGAGGAAGGCAGAAGATGCATTACTTTTGCTCAGTACCTGCATATGGGAATGGGTGGCTGTTGTACCAAGCCCTGTTTTTCACACACATGAGAGAGCAAAAATGACCTACTTATTCTGGATTTTCAACCTTTTTTGCCAAGTTTATAGTCAGAATCATGTATTTGTATTAAAAGTTACCAGAAACTGTCCAGTTTTTGACATCCAGAAAGCACCGTAATTTGTGTGAATTCAGCTCACTTCAGAGTCCACCAGGCTGGCAAATGTAGGCGAGCGAAGCGTTAAGTGCTGGCACAGATTGATCCCTTCTCTCTTGTCACAGGCCGAGTGCATCCCTCATGCAAAACAGCTTGACCTGCCCAGCCATGGTGGGATCAGCTTGTTCCCTGCCTGCTTGGGCTCAGGCTGCAGATATATTGAGTGAGATGCTCTTTCTGGCAGTTGGCATTTAAACGCGCCTCGAGCTAAAGTGCTCGAAATCCCACTGCGGGTATATTCTTCATATCAAATCTCATCGAGACTGAGCTGGAGATTGGGTTAAATCTCAGATGGGAGGATTATATCACTTCTGAGTTTATGGCTGGCATTAGCTCTGGACATTCTCATTACCTATATAAAAGTGAGCCCCTTTTTGAATCTTTTATGGCCCAGCTTGATTAAAAGTGGAATGAAAGCAGAAACTATTTTAATGGATTTAGAACTTACTGGTATAAAACTAGCGCAAGAAAAGAAATGGTTCCTACAGTTCCTCATCCCAGATGTATGTGAGATTGATAGAAAACACATTACCATAAAGAAAGAATTGACTCATTTACGTATTAGTTACATTCAAGGTTCCTTAGTTAAGCCTTCATATAATGTTTTCTTACAGGAGACAGCTTTGTTTCCTTATTTCCAAACACAGCAGCTCATCTTGCTTTCCATCAGCATAGACAAAAATATCAGGTGAGAGAAAACAAGTCTTATTTTTCCAGCTGCATGTGTCGAGGAGCCTCCCTGGCATGCAGCCCCCATACAGCACCGCCTTCTACTTTGTCCTGTGCTCAAAAGACCAATTTAGTGATCTGCTAATGCCATATGCCAGGGGCTAGGAAGGGCTGGGGGTGATGAGGGAGAGGCAAGACTCCTCTACATATGCAGACACAGAGAAATGCCATCCCAGGCCTGCATACAAGCACTGCAGGACGCAGCTCTGGAGGCCTCCAACTAGTCTTAGGTTTGGCCAGTTTTTGCCTTTCTGTAAATAATTAGTAGGTGTGAGCTTTCGGAGAACTCCTCACTAAGGGAACCTTGAGACTTATATATCTTCAGCAACTCCATCCAAAATTAAAAAAAAAAAATAAAAAAAAAAGGAAAGAAAAATCAGGTAATGAGTTGCAGAGAAGAGATTGTACCCAGTGCCACACATGCCTTGCAAAGACAGCCTTCACCACAGCATAGGGACACCTCCTCCATACCTAAAAGAGGCAGATGGGGTCTCCATGCCCCAGACATTGGCAAAGGCACTTCTGCCAGGGTTACTGGGCTTGAGGATTGGCTTTTCAGTTACTTGTTTGGGTTGAGGCTATCAGATGTTAGTGACAGCCAGGTAACCTGAACCCTCTGACATTCCTGTCCTAGCTAGCTCTAGTTGCCCCACCAATGACTTACTTTCCTGGTGTTTTGTATTAACAGTTTATTCCTGGAGGTTAAAAGCCATGGTTGCCCTTGAGTATTCCTGTTCAAGATCTCACTGATGGCAGTGGGAATGGCCCAGAGGGCAAGCTTTTGAATTCAGTCATATCTTTGGGTACTAGAAGAGATTCAAAGCAAGGGATTAAGGCTTTTTTTTTTGTATCCTGTAGATCAGCTAAAAGGTGGTTGGGCAGATTTTGCTTCATGGGTTGATGCCTGTGATAGGAATCGAGGTAGGTCTTGGCAGCCAGCTGCCAAGGTGTGATGATCCTGAAAAGCTCGAGTCCGGAAGCTGCACATCCTAGGGATAAACCAAAGACCCAAAGACAACGGCTGGCTGAGAGCCTGGAAACAGGAAAAAAGAGGTCCAAGAATGGGTAAATGAGGTGTTTATGGGGCACACAGAGAGCCTTGAAAACTTTGTCTCTGTGGCCACTCTCATTCCCAATAGAAATACCTGATGGAGCTGCAGTGCTCTCACCTTCAAGGATGGATTTGGGTGGTTGTGGATGTTCTTGGTGGTGTCAGAGAAGCAGCTTGCCTTCTTAGACATGAGAAACAGCTGCTCTCTGATAAACACTGAGAGCTTTCGGAGAGGCTGCATTCTCCATCCTTTCTCTTTAATTCTGCTTTTTTGATTTTAGATGTGTTGCGAAGGACTGGTAAAAGATTCTAGCACATAGTGGGAGTTGAATGTGCTGTTGTCTGTTAGTCATTATATATATTTTTTTATTCATTTGGCACTTTCCGGAGAGTTTTCCCCCCCACACACATTGTGTAGGCTGCCATCTTCCTTTCTTTCTTTGTAGCAAGCATGTGGGCGCAGCCTTGCTTACACTCCGAGCGACTGGGGAACCACCATAAATGTAGCTTATCCGCTTTCTGATACATTTTCTTTTGCATTGGTTTGGATTTGTGCATCGTCAGTAACATCTGTTCTGCTTTAGTGGCATACAGTTTTCCGAGTCTAATTAGCTGGCTGCTTGTAATCAGGACTATTTCAACTGTTGTCATTCTGAATGTTCTTTTTCCCTTTTTTTTAATACCACATTTGCCTGATTGACCTTTTTTGTTGTTTTTTTTCTCTGTCTTTCTATCGGGCTGCTCCAGGAGCCATGGCTAATCATCTTATAACCAATGCTCTGCTTCGTCCTCATGGCACTAACAACCCTTATAATACATTGCTCGGGGAATCGGCGGTCTATAACAACCCTTCTGTCAGCATGTACAACGCACAAGGTGTGCTGGAGTTTCTCTCTAATTTTTCTAGTGAGAATTCCATTTTCTGTGGCTTATTTTGGCCCATTTCTTTCTTTTTTTTTTCTTCCTTTTTTTCTTTTTCTCTCCCCACGCACACACACTTTTTTTTTTGAACTGGGCACAAAAAAAGATCCCCTCCCCTTCCTTTCATTTCAATGCATCTTTCCATCTTCCAGATGCTATTTTTCCATGAGCGATCAAATCCACTTTGAAAGACTCTCGTCAGTTTTACTCAAAGCATTCACAGTATTTTGGTTTTGATTTTTTTTCCCAGTCTCCTTGCTTTTTTATTGTTTTGGTCTTGTGTGTGTGTGTGTGTGTTTTCTCGAATGCATCCATTCCTCTCTTTGTTGTCAGCACATTTTCTTGTTAAACCATTCATTTCAGAAACAGGAACACCTTTGAAGGTAAGTGAAGCTAAAATGGCCTTTGCCACCAAAGCTGCTCTTGTTTGAAATGGCATAGAGAAATGTGGTCAGCGGTGCACTGGCTTGCGCAGGGAGAAAAACGCAAAATAAAACAAAACTGCCCTTGATCTCTAAGAAAAATGACAGCTGAAGCAAGGACTGTAGGTCAGCTCCAAAGAGCAGAGCTGAGATATTATGAGAAATGTTTTGCCGTTTGCACTAACACATTTTATATGTGCTATTAGGAAAAAAAAAATAATAGGAAAAAGATATAGGGAAAATAGATACTCTTTGATATCCTTTTGGCAACAGAAAATAAACAGAGTCAGTTGTACCTAACATAGGTTTCTGCTACGGAAATCACTCTCTTATCATCTACATGTTTGTCTCTGCTCTGTCTGTGGGAAGGGACAGTGTTTGTAAGCTGATGTCCTGATGCTTCCATGAGGGAGAGGCAGAAGTGTTTAAGCAGGACCTGAGGAGGAGCTGGGAAGTGTGGAGCTCTGGCAACTCCTGTCTGTCAGTGTCTCCATCCTGCTCTGCCACTTCCAGGGGATTTTTATTTTTATTTTTTTGTCTTACTTGTAAGGTGGCTGAATCACTGCAGAGTAACACTGCGTTCAAGCACAAGTGTGTCAACACTCTGTTCCCAATGAAGGCATCACATTCCAGTAAAGAATCTCCAAGGGAGGGAAAATAATGATGGTTATAATGCAAGCAGGAAAATCCTGTTTGTACTATATGGCAACATATTGTTCATGACAGAAATAAGTGTTGAACTGTATCAGTAGGGTATTTGCATTGAAAGCACAAGGAAAGCACACGTGTTTGACCTTTTTGCTGTTTCATTAATTTCCTAAACTATGCTAACTCTGTGCAATAAATTTGCTTCCAAGAATGCTTTTTTTAAAAAGAGCTACTGTTAAGCATGAAATGCTCTGCATTATAAGAACTTCAGTGTACCACAAGTGTCAAAATGAGCTTTGGTGTTCTGACTAGTTTTTTACATGATAACATTGAGGTGTGGGAGATTTTTAAATCAAATGGCAGCAGGTAATGTGGGATCTTAAGAATGTGGCTTAAGAAAACTCCTGATGTTCAGGTCTGGGTGTCTCAACTGAACCCAAGTGATTTGGGCAGAAAAGTGACAAAAAGGTTTTACGTGTATTTTAATAATCATGTGTTTTTCTAATTTTTAATACTGGATTCTGATACAGTTACCTAAGCAAATAGCATTTTCTTCCACAAAAAATAGGGTCGTTGTTTTACAAGTGCTATTCTGTTCAACACAGCTATATGGGTAAAAGAGAAACCTATCCAGGATTCATTCATGGGAAGTGAAGAGAGTGGACCAGTACTTGGTCCCATTTCAGCCCTTGGAGCTTTGTCATTGACTTCAGAGGGAGCAGAGCCCAACCCATTATTATTAGGAGGCTGCAAGTTAATTCATGACCATAGAACTGGTATTACTATTGCTTTTCAAACTGGTTACTGTCCCTGGACAATTAAAAACTGTGTATATTAGGAACTCCCACAGCAAAAATGAAGGTTAGCAAAATCAACCAGGATTAATGGCCTTGGGAGTCCTTTGGGATTTCCAGATGCTGCACCAACAGGCATGCTAAAGTGATGATAGTGCATTGTAAAAGTAGATGCTGTTATCATCTCTGGGTGTGCCTTGGCTGTGGCTGGCATGTGGTGATTATCAGTAAATTAATTTATTAATTGTTAGCTAACATCATCCAACTAACTCATTCCACATTACTAAGGCTACGATTTTTTTCTGCACCTTCATATACTGCTTCTGGTGCTGGTCATGGACAAGGCAGGGCACTCTTAAGAAACGGGATTGAACCAGTTCACCCATTTCTTATCCCCTCCCCAGTTATGTGTTTTAAAATACACTCTTTACTTAAGCTGAAGCTGCCACATCTGTGGTAAAGAATCACCAGGAGCAGGAAATCCTAAAAAAAATACCCTTGGAAAGAGGTGGAGAATCAGAGCCTAAAAGGCCAAAGTCCTATTTCCCCATGGCATAAGCAATTCCTTGATAGGAGATGGAGCACAGAGGAAAGAGGAGGTGGTAAGTGAGGCGCCGAGTGCTCTCTGCCATTGGAAGCTGATGGACACATGCTGGCAGGGTGTCTCCAACACAGGAGTTTCTCTAAATGGCCCAATGGCTTTTGTGAGAACTAGATTGAGAGAAGGCATTAACAAGCATTATTGAGCATTAACAAGCTCTAGTTAAAACCCAGTGTACCACAGGCCACTGCACAGTGGGAAGCTGAGCGTTATCACTTTCTCTTCATCTTAATCTCTTGCTCTTCTTGTTTTAAGCCTTTCTTTTCAGTAGCTTCATTTAGCAATGCCATTATTCAAACTACTATTCCTCTTACATTTTTTTTTTTGCAAAGTCCATGTAGTTTGCCATGTGTTTGGTTAAAATAAAAAACCAGACTTACCAAAGTCTGTACAATGCCAGCAGCCCCATGATGAACAAAGTCATACTCTTACAAAGCACTGTTGCAAAGGATGGACGGCAAAACATTTTTAACAAGGAAATAGATTTCATTTTCAACTGCCAGGTGTTATTGTAACTAACAGTAAGTAAAGCCATTCATTTTAAGACTTTGGAAGTGACTATGACAGTGCCTGTCTTTTCAAGCATGACCGTTATGAGCTTTAAGCTTTTCTTAAATTTCCAGGCATTATTTCTTCATTTGTGTTGCACGCTGAACATTTTATAATGGCATTGGAAAACGGTTTAAATGTGATAATTTTTAAAATAAAAATGTAGTCTACTGAATATTGCGCGTAAAATATTTTTTTCTGTCTAAAATGTCAATATTTTTAACCTGAAATAAACCTTGTAACAAATTCATGTATTCTGGGCAGTGGAAATTATTTCCGTTAACTCTCTTTTCTGCATATCATCAATTTGCTTTTTACTCATGTTTCTCCTACTGTCGCTGTAAGCTTACTTGTTGTTTTTTCTTTCCTTTTCTTCATGCTGTCGTTTAGAGCCCTACAGAGAGACAAGTATGGGAGTAAAGCTAAACATTGCATATCAAATGTAATTTTTTTTAGTTCACTTTTATTGCATCACATATAGATGATGTAGTTAATAAAGGAAATTAATCTCACAGTTTTGAAATCAAAAGAATATGAATATACATATGTATATATGTGTATGCGTGTGTATGTATGTATGTGTATATATATATGTATGCCTACATATATATATATAGATGAGATTAGATGATGCTTTCTTTGTTTATTTCTCATTTTTGTGATATCATTTACCCAGTGTAGTTTCTCATATAGTTGCGTGTATGATTTTTTTAAAAACTTCACGTTTTTATTTGCAAGGTCATGGCATTTTTATACGGCGTGTTTCACTGCAGATCCCGCTCTGTTCTCACCTGCAATGCCTCCATTTTACTTCTGCACCAAACCCCAGATCTATGCATTGGCAGCAGAAGCTCAGTGCTCGGTGCCTCAATGCATATGTTACTCAACGTAACCATCAAACAGATGCTGTTGTACCTGTCACCCATTGCATACGGTCCTTCCCCCAAAACGCTCACTTTTCATTTCTCCCCAAGCATCGTGACTCAGTTGGAAAGCTTTCACCATGAAAATCAACGGCTTTGCTCTATATCTGTGGTGGCTAGTTGATTTTTTGGCATAGCTCCCTCATTTGCTGGGGAACACAGGATACAGCAGCACCCTCTAAACTTCAAAAACCTAAATGGTGACCAACCCCTTTGGGGCATTTCACTCAAAAGCAAGAAGAAGCCTTCAGCAGTGCTTTTCCAGCCCTTGACATACAGCAACTACTCCATCACAGATATAGACCGAATCCTGTATTTTCAGAAGGTACACATGCCATGTACTGAGCATGGTATGAGCAACTGTTCATCTGAAATTGTCAGTTTAATGGCTTTTCTTATCCACCATGGCTTGCTGGGAGTTGCTTGCCAGTTCTGGGCAATGCCCAAAGCCCTTAGTCGATAAATTATTTCATCTCCCCCCAACTCTTTTACTCCTTCCAAGGAGGCCAGTAATCCCAAAAAAGAAAGCGTGGTGGCTTAACTGCTGGGCCTGATTTTCTTCTCCCTTGCCCACTCATGCTGGCATTGCTCTCAAAGCACTTCCCCTCCTCCATCTCCTATAGTGCCTTGGGAAAGAGCCAAGCTCCAGCCTTACATTGTCAGTGTTGAGACACCTTTGGAGATGTGATGGGCAGTTAGACTGAGGACACCCTGAGACCCTGTTACTCCTCGCAGGTTCCCATGAGCCCTCCATAACATGGCAGTGATGGTACTTGCTGTACCCTGCACTGAACCCTCTGCTTTAACTTTGCACACGGAATAGGAGCTATTTTTAAAGGCTTCACAAGACCCCAGAAGAGCTGCCTCCAACATCAATTATATAAGAAAATCCCCACCTGGCCAGTGTGGAGTAAATAATTTTGGTTGTGCCCTTGTGGCAGAATAGGTAGGGCATTTAGCCTTCTTCCAAAAAAGCCTGGGTCAGGAAGCATTTTGTGCCTCCACTTTGCTGATCCCTGAATCCGTTCATTCAGGCCTTATGTCTTTACCCTGACAGCCTCTCCAGCAAAAGGGGAGAACGGATTTTTTTCCTCTAGGAAGGATACACTTCCAAACAAAGTTTAGGCTTTGATAAGGCTGGGCTGCAAATACTTTTCCCTCAGCTGGGAGGAATTGCCCCTTCCTCCAAAGCATCTGGAGCTAGGGCAGTTTGGACCAGCTGAGGGTCATCTGTTTTTCAGCTACCCAGGAATACATAGAGTAAAGCACAAGAGCTGTAGGAGATACAGGCCAGGAGAGGTTATCCTTCCGGCTGTCTGTTGCCGCATGAAGTCACATACTTGACAGTGCTTTCCTTTTTTTTTTGGTGGGAAGACCTTGACCACCAGCAGGTTAGCCAGAGCTGTGACCTCCTGTTTTGGCCGCGACACTCTCCTTGCTGCGTAGCCCCAGCAGCCGCGGCAGCCTAGGAAGGGGGTTTGAGTGTGCACGTCCCGCATGAGTGTCCTGTTTGTACAAGTCACCCTCTCTTGTGTAATGTTTTTCAGAGGGGCTTCTGAACAATGCCAGGGATACAAGTGTCACGGATACTCTACCACTGAATGGTAATCACGGCAACAGCTACAGCATCGCCAGCGGCGAGTACCTCAGCAACTGCGTGCAAATCCTTGACCGCGGGTACAACCACACGGAGAACGCCCTCGAGAAAAAGATCCTGAAGGAACTCACCTCCAACTACATCCCTTCCTACCTGAACAACCATGAGCGCTCCAGCGAGCAGAGCCGCAACTTGATGAACAAACTCGTCAACAGCGTGGGCGGTGGGAGCGAGGACGACGCCATCGTGCTGGATGACGCAACCTCCTTCACCCATGAGGAGAGCCTGGGCCTGGAGCTCATCCATGAGGAGTCGGACGCCCCACTGCTGCCTCCCCGGATGTACTCAGCGGACAACCACCAGCCCCACCTCTACAGTCGGCGGCGCATCCCACAAGACAACAGTGAGAGCTTTTTCCCTTTGCTGACCAACGAGCACACGGACGACCTCCAGTCACCCAACAGGGATTCTCTCTACACCAGTATGCCCGCACTGGCTGGCATGCCCATGACGGAAAGCGTCACCGCCAGCACCCAGACCGATCCTCCGCCAGCCAAAAGCGGTGGTGGCGATGCCGACGATGTTTACTACAAAAGCATGCCCAACCTTGGCTCCAGGAACCACGTCCATCAGCTACACACTTACTACCAGCTAGGTCGAGGCAGCAGCGATGGTTTTATAGTCCCGCCAAACAAAGAGGGAACGCCCCCGGACGGCAATGCAAAAGGACCCGCTCACTTGGTCACTAGTCTATAGAAGATTCAGCAAAAAATTAAGCAAAGAGACAACTAAAAGCCTCTCCATAACGCTCGGTTTACTGTTCTGAGTTAATCCAAACAGTGGTAATATTGTGTGTACTTCTAAATCTTCATGCTGTTCAAAAGGAAATTCTCAGACTTTTTTTACTGGAATTTTTAGGCCGGCCCGGAGAGGACAGTAACTGCTGCCCACGCCCCCCCTTATCTTCCCATCCTTCTTCCCTCCAGACAGACTTCATTATGTTAATGAAAGAGATAGATAACGGCACACTTCGTGGCCTTCTCAAGTTATGCCGTGTTTGTTTAAACAATCCTTGATGCTGTGTTGCTCTTAATATCGAGGACCTGATTTAAGAGGGAAAAAAAATTATAAAAGGCCAAAAATGTGCATTTGAAACTAGTAGCGATGGCGTATCTAGGTGGGAGCGCTGCATAAAACAAGCTAGCAAAACTCTTTCTTACCAATCCAGGTCACATCATGGGTTATGGTCACTCACAACTTGGTTTCACTGCAGCGCCCTTTGCTGTGGGAGCAAACAAAACATAAACAAATTTAATGAGATGGAAGGGAATCCTAGAATCCTGTGCTAAAGGCATATTTTACATTTTGCTGTATTAACGGATGATAAAAACTAATGGCAGAAAAAGAGAAGTGAACAATTTCTATGTAATGTACAGATACTAGCATTGCACATATAGTCTGCTTTCTGTTCCTCCAGAACTTGCGTCCCTGTTAATGTAGTGGAAAAAAAATAAGAACTTTTTTCTGTTGTGCTGGTCTTGTAAGTTTGTCTACCAGTAGGAGCAAGGTTTTTCATAACTCCTTTTTTTTTTTTTAATTTTGTTTTGCCTCTTCCACTGCCCTTCTCCTCTGTCCCCTCCCCATCCCAGTAAAAAAAAATCTCACTGGGCAAAAAAAAAACCCCAAACATCACTTTGTAAGGACCATTTTTAGTAACACCATCACCATTTCTTTTCAGCCAAGGCAGTCTTTTTATTTCCTTGCTGTATAACTTTTTTCAGCTGGCATAGTGCCAGCAGACCTTTTGGCAGACTAGAGCAGGGCAAACTTCCTCTTTGTCAGTGCACAACCGATCGTGATGATAATCCTGTGAAGCGAGTAGCCCCTCAGCCAGGCCATTGGGTCACATCCAGGGACTGAGAGGGCTTTCTTATAATCGTAGTGGGGGTTCTACAGGAGACGGCCATTTCCCTGGAGGAGCAAAGGGCTTCTCAGCTCAGTCTGGTCCCGGTTTAGGCACTTGTACTGCAGTGGTTAAGAAGAAAATAGATTGACACATAGTGAGCTAAAAACTATTTTGCAGTGATTTTTAATAAAAAGTCTTCTGTTCATTATTTTTCCTAACAGGAAATTTATTTATTTGACAGGATTTTTAAGTAACATAGGCTTTCTGGAGGTAAATTAGCAGCACGGAGTATGAATTCTTCTTCTTTTTCTCTCTTTTTTTTTTTTTTTTTTTTAATTTATGATCCATTTTGTACGGTCTCAACAGTTGAATGACCTCATTACTAATATTTGTTGTAAAAGTGAAGCTTGTTTGCCAACCAATAAACAACTGATCACGATTTAGAAGATACTGTATGTATGTACTGTACAATTAATCTCTCTTTTTTTTGTTGTTGTTCCTCTCTCCGTTACTGTCTTCAGTATGAGTCTCCACTCCTTTACGGCATGGGTGAGCAATGCCAAAGAAAGGAGGCCTAAGCTGAGCAATTTAAGCACAAAGGTTATGCAGCTACAGCTGACTAGAAATATCAGGCTGGTGGTACCTGTTTAGGGGCGAGAACAGCACTGGTTGACATTTGTTGCAGGTGATTCTAGGTCTGTTTTGTGCCTACTGTATAAAGTAGCCAACGACACGCGGATGATTTGAGTATAGTGTTTCATGTGTCGTATCTTTTAATCATTGTAATGGGGTTTGGGGGGTTTTTTTTAGTTTTGTTGTGGTTGTTGTGTTTTTTTTTTTTTAATTTGGGTTCTTCTGAGATTTAAAAACTGCTGGTAGCATGTCAAAGAGTAAAACAAGTCCCCGTTAGGCCTTCTCGGTCATTGTTTGCTGTCTCGTTATTTTCTTGCTCCGGGCATGTGCCAAGCGCCATCACCATCCTCTGCCACATCGCCCTTCCCGTCTCACCACTGCCAGTGGCCCACTGGTGCTTTACTGCTCTCCTCCAGCCTCCCCCTTCAAATCCCTCAAGAGCAATCAGGAATACAGAAAGCCACAAAATAGACTAGAAAGGTTGACAGGGAAAATAACCACCTCTGGACACAATTGCTAACGATTTTTCAGTATGTGATTTTTCACAAAGCCCTCCTATGCCCTGGGCTTTGGGGCTTGGGGCTCCCTCTGTCCAAACTGCATATATCCAAGTCCCATCATGCTGGGTAAAAGCCAAAAGACTTGGAGCAGGTGGGTGAGGCCCATGTTAGGTAAGACATTCCCAGTATTGGAGGATAAATGCAGCAGCAGAGCAGCTCTGCTCTGTCACGGGGTTGTCCTCACGTTAGGATGATGCTGCTCAGTGCTGCTCAGCAAAGTCTTGTTGGGGGTGAGAACAGGTAGTTGTGGTATTTGGTGGTATTCATGGCCTACAAAAGAGTCTGGTTTAAGTCACCTGCATCCTTCCTGCCACCAGCCACTCTGGCCAAAGCATCTTGGGAAGGAAACTTGCTTTCTGATCGAGCACTGATCACAGCAGTGGCTCTTGCCAGGCCTAGGTTTTGGCAAGGGAGCATTTCCTATTGGAATATTGGGAATTGCCTAACTTCATAGCAGAATGGCCACTGGCCAGTCAAGTCATGCTCTTGCTCTTGATACTGCCTCCCCATTTCATTTTACATGGAATTTAAATGAAAATGAAGCAGCAATGGAACTGGACAGTGCAGTAGACCTATGCGTGCAGGCAAAGCAGGTGTTTCAGACTCACGTGGTCATAACAATCCATGTAGCAGCCCAGTAGAGGCTGCCAATGCTTTAAATAATTGAAGTACCTCCTACTTCGGAGAATGTAAAAACTCTTTTACTGAATTAGACTCAAAACCCAGTTTTCTGGGAGTATAGATGGGTTGAATTCATGCAGAGGGTGAGATACACCATAACAAATATCTTCGTGGTAAAGTGGAGGCAGGTGATTGGCACAGCATTTACCAGTGTTCCTGAAACTATGCAAGAACGAAGCAGTGGTGGATTTGCTGTGGGATGATTTTGTCCTACTGAAAAATCTTTGACTTCCTTTGCTACAAACGGTCATTCTTCCCCAGCCTTTCTGTGTATTTCAGATTTATCGGTGTGCAGGCTGTTTTTCTCACTCACGCTTCCCTTTGCCAGCCTACCATGCCCATTAGTGCTTTGATTGCAAAAAACACTGCTTATTTTCAAGCTGATTATTTCTGTCCCCAGGCCGTTCTGACACCATAGGATTCACTGTTGGTGTTTCTTATAGCTTTGGAAACAGCTGAATCACAAAATAGAGGGAAAATAGATATTATTCATTTTAATGTTATTAAGCCAAAAATGGGGAGCAGGATGCAGATTATTTTTGGTATTTTTTTTTTCCCCTTGAGAACAGACTTTGTTGTGTCAGATAGTTGATTATGGGCATGGTGAGGTTTCTGCTTGTTGATAAATAGCTCACTAGATATAATTATTACATGACTGGCAATGTAGTGGTGTGTTCTGTGCAGACTGCAGCATGTGAAAATCAAGTCACCGTTAAGTCCTCAGTGCCTACAATGTTCCTGGGGTAGGAGGAAGAGCTAAAAAACATCTAAGGCATTTCTTAATGCTGAGCCAAGGCAGGGATGTGAGAAAAACAGATTGATGAAGAGGCAGTAGTGATTATGGTATTAAATCCATGCTCATGCTTGGGGCACATAACTTTGCAAGCTGTGTTGAAGGGGATAATCAGCCCTGTACTGGAGGGATCTTCCTTTATAGAGCTTCATTGAGCAAAACAAAAAAATACCAACCAGATTTGCCTTATGGAGAGAAGATTAAATCTTCATCAGTCAACTGCAATAAGCATCCCACTTTCAGTGAAGCAAATAGAATATAAGCAAACAGGTAGTGCTTGATGAAAACATCAAACAATACACAGACCACTTTCTGAAACACAGGACCACCTTTGGGGAGCATAGGTTGCCAGGCATGTTTGGAGGGAGGATTGCTAATGTCAATCCCTTGCTTGAGTTGTCCCTTCAGAAAGCTTTTTCTGCATGTGGGAAGAGGGGAGCGGAGAAGTGCAAGGCTCCATGCCTTGCATTTTCCTGAAAGCCATCTTGGGATTCTTTGCAAGTTGTGAATCTCTTTTTTCACTCGGTCCTTCTAATTTGCACAGGACTGGGTTATTTTTCCAGTGTAATCCCATTGCAGACTACCCCATAATGAGCTGACACATCAGTGTACTGCTTAAGGACACTTTGACTCTAGCAGGCAATTCCTACCCATTTTCTTCAAGAGCCATAAGAGACCGTAAAAATCTCCCTGAAACATGTGAAGGAGAAACCCAAGGTGAAAGACATGCCAGTAAAGACTATGTAGAGTGGAGGGTTGCTGGGAAGGGGAGGGGTGTGTTCACAGTTTTGGAGGCATTTTTTTGACAATATTACTTACCATGATGCTGCTAATTTCTTCCTGTTGATTGCTTTTAATTCTTTGAAATCTCAAGTTGCTAACCAATCTTTTTCCTTCCCCCCTACCCCCAGGTAATAAGCAGTGAGATGCTTCACAGAGCTAGGGGAAACAGTGGTAGTGGTGGGAGGCACAGAGCTCGTGGGGGTCCTTCTGTATCTCCATATGTGTCCCTGTTGCCTACCTCCCCCTCCCTCTTCTCTGGCCAGCTGGCCTTTCTTTCACACATCCCCATATGCTCTTGATCTCACTAGTTTATAAAGAATATAATAACCTGCAGAATTTTCTAGTCAACAGGGATAAAAAGATAGCTCATCTTACTAAAAACCTGTCTCAGGAAAGCTTAAGAGCACTGGCTTGGTCATCTGTCACACCCAGATCTCCTCCTTACCTCTAGAAAGAAAAGTATTTTTAGCTATCTGCTGCATTCAGCTAGACTCTATGCAAATTTTATTTAATGAATATTTTAGGGTTTAAATAGTCTGTGCTCATGAACATTATATAAATGTCATGTTGTCGCAGGCTCTCTGGTAACAGCATGGAGAACATCCTGCAGTGCAAAGCTGAAACCAGAAAAAATCTGTGATTAGTGCTCCCAGGGAAGGCAGTGATGGCTGTGTGAGTGGTGACTGTTCTCAGCAGGGGCATTACCAATGCAGTCAGAGGAGAGCACTGGGGTACCCCTAGAAGACCAGCCGCACTCCACATTGTAGACTGAGAGACATTTCGTTCAGTACAGGTAGCTGGCATAAGACCAGTTTTACTTTTCCAAAGGCTTTGGCAAACCCTAGGGATGCATGGATCACACACCAGATCATTTGTCATCCCAGTACAGAAGAGATGGTCTGTTTAAAGCTGAAATATTGAGACTAGCCAGGATAGCTTGGAAATCTTCCTTTTCACATCAAAATAGTTTTTTACAGGTGCTTACTGTTTCTTGTATTTGATATGCCAGACAGATGGTGATAGTCTTCTTCAGCAAAATGCAAAGAACAAACAAAAAAAAAAAATCATCCTAAGTATTTGCTGTCTTTTTATTTCTTCATCCTCCACATAATTTCTTCTCTTATATTTCTACTCCTTAAATACACTGTACACGTGTAAAAACCCAAGCTAAAACCTCAATAAATAAACAAAACGTACTGGTATACAGAGCAATTATTATGTGTTGGAAGCAAATGCTTGGTATTTTGACAGTGTTGCTTAAAACCCCTGAACAGCAACTTAGAATACAAAACAACATAGCTGCTGCACAACCTCCTCAGCTGGTGTGCATGGGAATACTTGTACAGATGACCCAGTATCTCCGACTGCCACTTAAAATCCGCCGCATCCTAAGTTAAAACTTTGGAAAGGTTATTTCCAGGAGCAGGATGCTCGATGGATAAATTATGGCTATAATAAAACCATTTTCAGCCTGTCTTTTCCCACTTCTCTTGGAGGCATCTCAGGCAGAGTTTAAGTTGGGTCGCTGTGGCAGGAAAGTTCAATGCAGGCATAAGCCCTGCAGCCTTTGTGTCCCACCAGCAGCAAAGGCTTTACCTTTCAATGGGCATGAGCCTGTGGTAGCATCCACTGATGGGCTAGGGGGGAATGAATGTGGAAAACTAAGTGGTTAACAAACTGGGTGAAGATGTTTGGTTATGCCCCTTGGGAAGCAACAGCACTGCACCCAAAACATCTCGTAGGACTTGTTTGCATGAAAGCTGCAGAAGGGTTGTAGGAAAATGGACTTTGGGTGGGGGGATAAAAAAAAAAAAAGTTTCTGATTTCTGTCAAGGCTTTGTCCTTTGGCTGAAATGTGCCAGAAGTAGTTTCTCAGGTGGTTTCTCTGGGCAGCTGGAGAGAAGTGCAAGCTCATATGAGATTAGCCCATGTGCGACAGGAGGCCAATTTGAGGTGGGCTACAGCCTGGCTGTGGCTGTTGGGTGCCTGCTCTGGCCAGCCCCTGGTTTCCTCACCTAAAAACAGGAGAAAAAAAAAAGAAGATTTTATGGTTTGCCACCAGGTAGTCCTTTTTTCTTGAGAGGGTCCCTCCGTGATAAATGGAAGAGTTGCTTTCTCTGCAAGCCCCTCAGCTCTGCCCTTTGGTCACCTTCCCCTCACCCACCCCCTTGCTTATGTTGCTGCCATTCTTACTTAGAGATAAGAGGCCTCATTGCTTAAGCTGCTGTTGATATCAGCCAGGAAGAGTGCTTCTTAGGTGGAATTTTTGATTTTTTTTTCCTCCAAGGTACACCAGGCATTTTCAGCTGCTGACAGTTTGTGCTGCAATGCAAAGCAGCCCACCAAGCTAGCAGCAGCAGTGGAAATGAAAGGAGAAAATGCATCCCACTGCTTGGGAAACAAACAAACAAACAAACAAACAGAAAACAAACAAGAGGAGCAACAAGGAAAGGATGAAAGTCCTTCCTCCTCAAAGATCAAAAAGATCAGTCAAAATAGCCAAGCTGGGAGATGCCTGAAAAGTTGCCAGTTCTGCCCGCACCACTTTCCCCCGTGACGTTCTCTATTGTGCCATACAGAGCAACACAGATTTGGGTTGGGAAATGGAGTTAAATCATTTATGCTTAGAAAATTGCTCCAAGATACCTCTTGATTCTTCTTGAATGTGTCTAGCCTATCTTAAACCTCTCCCTGAAATATTGTTTATGAAAAAGCCTGCATGTGTTCACCCCAAAGTGCATGCGGCTGTGTCTTCCCAACCTGTGCTTGTGAAAGGAGTTTTCCTCCCTGGGGCTTCAGTGATTATAGAGGCAGCTGTAAAGCAGAGCACTCAGGATATAAAGTGCCCTTCAGATAATGTCTGATAGCAAAACAAATCTGTTTATTCTGCAGTCATTTATACTGACTATTTATTATTAAGGAGGGGCTGGAGGTGAACACACCACAAAAAATGCAGGTTGCTAAAGCAAGCCTATTGGGTTGGTACAGGCTGGTGGCTACCGCTCAGCTCTGTGCTCTCCTTGCTTGAGCTGGGCTAAACCCAGAGGAGCAAAAAGGCACCTTGGCATCACCCTTCTTCTGCAGAGCAATGGGCAGCAGTGGCCGATGCTGTTGGTCCTTACATCATACAACAAATAAATGGCTCATGTGGCGCTAAAGCCGAGCAAAACTGTAGCACCAAATTCAGCAAAAAGGATTGCAGGAGGTTTCCGATGGGATGCTGACCCATAGATACATTCACCTGTTCTGAGCAAGCCTTCCTTTTCAAGGCAAGGCCCAAGTGTCCTGTGCTTTGTCTGGGGGTGGAAATGGTTTTGAAAATAGCTGGTGGTTGCCTCAGGGTCCTGTTCTGGGGCTTTACCTGCTCTCCCCTTGTTTTTCACAGAAAGTGGAAGGACGCCCAAACAGGAGCCAGTCTTCAGGCGAGTCACCATGGAAGACAGTGTCATCTAGCACCTGGGGCATCCGACAAGCCTGCCCCAGCAAGCCCATGCCAGCGCACCACCTCAGCTCCTCCGTGCCTCAGTTTACCCATCCCTCACTCGGGATTGCGCAACAGGAGAGGCAGGAGAAACTAGCCTCAACAAAACCCTCAGCAAACCCTTGCATCCCCAGGGAGAAAACAGCCCAGCTGAGATTCCTGCTGCCCTGTGCATTGCAGGACCTGGAAAGTGCCCTCACCGTTTGGTCACTCGCCTGTTTTTTAAGATGAGCTGAACGGGTGAAAATTGTCTTTTGTAATAAGAAATTAGTTTCATCTGCTCCAAAAGTTGACTTTGCAACTTAATAGCACTTAAAGATGGCTGAGTGTGCTCAGTCCACCATACTGAGCTTCTCACCATGCCTGCAAGCTGGGCTGTATAAAGGTGAACCCACTGGATCCAGGTTACTGTTATAAATACAGTCCTGTCTGTCTAAAGAGCTAACAAGAAAAGGAAAAGAGGGACAAAGAAATAGTCCTTACACCAGAAGAAGGTGAACTTGCCAACAGGGTACTGTCAAGCAAAGCTGTTGTGTGTAAATAGGGACCAGGGCATGTGTCCAGCAGCAGCTCTTCTTGGCAAAGCTTTTCGGGGGAAAGCTGCTCAGATTTTATTGTGTTGTGTAAATAGAGATATTTTTTTGAAAAAAATGAGCCTTAGTATCTTGAGGATAGCGTTTCTCAATCAGCTCAGCTGGGGATTGGATATGTGGGAAACCATGGAGTCTGCCTGGTGGAGGCTGGTGTGGGATCTTGCAGCCAAGCTGTGCAGTCTTGGTGGATGCAAGAGGCACCTGAGGGTGACAGACCCATCCGGCAGAGGACTCAGCAGACAATTAATCCTTCATCCCTGTAAACAGGGTGGACTCACTGGGCCCATGGTCTCCACTGGTGTAAATACTCAGCGACAGCCCACAGAGGACTTGGGCTGCTTGGTGCAGTTGTAGGGGGGGAGGGCGGGGGGGTGGGATGGGCAGAAATCACCAGAGGGATTCAAACCCCATCAGTGTGGTTATTCCCAGGGTTTTAGCATTAGTTAAAAAAAAAAAAAAAAGGAAAAAAAAAAAGAAAAAAAGAACCCCTGAAGGCTTATTGATGGTGTTGGGACAACAGTTCAACTGGGTAAATGGAGGCATGCATAGACATCTGTGTCCATGTCAGCCAGTGCCTGTATGTGCAGTTCTCCTCAGCATGTTCACAAATGCGTGTGCAAGACTGTGCCTGGTGTGGGTGGGTGCCAGCCAGTGCAGATCCCCATGTCTGTGTAGCTGTGTCCATGAGAGAAGAGAAAATATGGATGTTTATGTTGTACTCACCTTTATATGCCCAAACAAACTTGAGAAGTCATAAGTAGTGCTGCCAGGTGCAGCTTCGTTTAGCATGGAGCAGTGTCTGCACCTCTCCGTGGAACGAGGCGTGGCGGGGGTGGGTCATTAGGTGAGTAAAAGCTGATAAAACTCTGCTCCCCATTGAGTCATCATCCACTGTCCCCTGCCACGGCACAACAGTGGCCCTCTGCAAATGCTACCAGCAGAACAGGGCTGCGCTCAGTCATGGGCGCTTGCAGGATGTGAGCTGCTGCAGCATGGTACCTGATGGAAGCTGGAGAGGAGCTTTGGGTGTTCCCCTTCATCCTTCACAACTACTTATGCCTTATTTACTCGAGTCCAACCATGTGGATTCAGCCAGCGCAGGGAAATTTAAAAAAAAAAAAAATTAAAAAAAATTAAATTAGAAATTGAAATCAGAAAAAAAAACCCCATACTTGAGAAAAAAGAGATATTTTGGAAAATTACACAGGATAACTTTCTCTAGACATGGAAGACTCTCTTCAGCCTAGCATTTGCTAGAGAGGAGGGCCAACGTGAAGTGTCCTTCCCCATATAAAAAGCCAGATAGTATCAACCAACATATTTAGAATAGCGCTGGGGGCAAAGTCCCTATACCTTTCCAAGGAGTGGCCAGTGGTCAATAAACAGGAATTGGAAGCTGCGTCAAATGACCGAGGGTGTAGGCATCTAGAGAGGTAATTTGCTTGCAGTGGTTCAAGGCGAGCTGCAAGGGTTGGTCTTATCCTCTTGAGTACTTGAATACCTCCTCTGTCATTCACCTCTCTCTGGCTGCTGTTGCCTTTAACACCTAACAACTGCTACTGCCAAGTGATTTATATATTTATCAAACCATTTATTTATTTATCTAACCAGTGCACAGAAGACACTGTGCTTTCACTTGCCACATGTGGACACCTCTTCCCTTGCTCACTTCTCCAGCCTTGTGTAGTGTCCCTAGGCAAGGTGACCATCATCTTGGTGAGCCAGTGGTTTTCCCCCCAAGGAAGGCGGTTAGCCTTTTTTTCCAGGGAGAAAAATAATGAAAAATGTGAACCCACCCCATCCTTGTGCTAGAAATGTTCTCAAAGTCAGAAAGTGTGTTAAGTAAAATAAATACCTCCAGAAAGTTTGAAAGTTCACAATCTTTCATAGTCATGAGGAGACCATTCTTATGGTTTCTAGAGCCCCCAAGGGCAGTGATAAATACTGATCCTGAGGCTTCCTGGCCCTAGGGACATCTAAGGTGCTGCATGGGAACAAAGGGGGGCTGCAATTGCAGGAAAGAAGATATTCCCTGTTTTTCCACTAGGTTGCAGGAAAGCAGGAATCCACTAGGTTGTGTTGAGTGGTGGATGTTTTTTTTGTCATTAGAGCCCTCACCATTAGTTTCCCTCCCCAGACAATCCCATCATCCCGCACCTTAAACCCTTGCTATTATGTCTGGAAGAGCTATTCTTGGAAGTGTTTGCAACAACCTGTAATGTTTCTCTCTCTTTCCAACCCTGAAGAGGCTGACACCCAGTAACGGACAGTTGTAAAGATGAGCCAGACCAACCCCGAGTCCTAATAAAAATGATGAATCCCATCCACTGCATCCGTATCGATGGCACAACAGGTTACGTGCGGAGGTGAGCCAGTGAGGAGGGGGAGGCAGATATTCACTGAAGATTGTGTCTGGGAGGTGCTGTTACCAAACCCACCCAGCCGCTGGGTTCCCCAGGGCAGAGTTTTGATTTAATCCAGCCCTGAGTCAATAGCGATTGATATTTCACTTGCTTTCCATATCTTAACTGGACTTCCTTACTCCTCAGGCATGGAATGAATCTTAATACATTGTAATTACTGTACTCCTGGTGGTGAACCGGTATGAAAAGCTATCATGGAGAGCATTAATAAAATGTACATTATGAAAAAGAACTCAGTATTGTCTGAAATTAATAACGCACCAGATTTTTCTCATCCACACCTGCTCATCACAGGCCTGCCCTCAAGTTTTCTATTAAAATGACATATTCAAACTACCTGTATAGCTGTGTTCAGCGTGAAGTTATCTGCTGTAGGTTTGCATCCCAGCTAGATGTACCGCATGAGGACTTATTAATCTTTTATGTCTTTCAGTCATTGATTTTGGTGACATTTATGTAATGCCAGTATGACTAAAATGAACTGATTGATTCATGCGTATGGATTAGTTTGCCTAAGACTTTGAGACTAGGTAGCTTTATCATGCACTGTAATGCCAGAATTCATCACTGTATTATTTACGAGAGACTGAACTGGCTGCATCTCAATAACTGAAGAGATCTTCACTGTTTTATTTATGTATAAATGTTTACTTAATCAGCCGCCAATTTTGTTTAGCAGAATTTGTTAGCAAACGGAAATTGTAAACGATAACGTGGTTTCTATTTTAAAATTTATAGGCTTTCATCTATAGCAAAATCCAAGATTTCCAAAGTGTCTTTGTCTACTGGCAATCAACAAGCTCTCTTGTATATGCTTTCTGGTAATTGCAATTAGCTGCTGCAACATTTCACATAAAAAATAATACAACCCTAATACAGGAGATCTGACTGGTAGCGTGTCAAAGTCAACATAAATATC